TCTTACATGCATTTGCAGTAATTGCAGTAGAATTTAAGGTGTCATAGTCATTAATTCTATTGCTGTCATGTCCTCAATTAACACACAAAATCAAATCAACTGTCATTAATTTATTTTTTAATGAAAAACAATTTAGAATCCGTAGTGGTATTGGAGATTTGATTATGTGGAACTGTTTTCCTTTTCCCATTCCTATCAACATTGCACAATTACCAAATGAACTTTTAGGGGGCAATGCACTTTTAAGAATTGAATTGCAATCCAAAACTTAAACATAATATCAATCCACATAATATAATAAAGCAAATGATGCTTAGGAATCTAGCTAGTGATAATCCAGTCCAACCCAAGGGATTGATCGATCATCATCACTTTAAGTTCAGAGGTAAGTCGACTACAACTAAAGTTTGATACTCTTTGTAAGCGATGGCTGCTTCCATGAGATGGTGCGGACCAATTTCCCCGCCATTGTGTAAGGACTTGATCAAATTGTCGGAGCCTCTTCTTTTGTTGGACAAGATGAGCCTCGGAATGAAGGAAGTGGTAGGAGGGCCTCTTTCTTTTAAATGTAGGAAAAACAAAGGGTTAATTAAAAGAACTTTGGCTGGCACAAAGCCTAATTATAGAATTAATTATATAATATTGCAGAGTATGGAATGGAAGGAATAGTTTCAACAAGAGGGGATGTATACAGTTTTAGTGTTGTCCTGATGGAAACATTCACAAGAAGGAAGCCAATAGATGAGATGTTTGTTGGGAAAAATGAGTTTAAAGCAATGGATTGCAAATTCACTATTACCATACCCAACAATAGATGAAGTTATGGATGCCAATTTACTCAGGAAGACACAGCAGGATAATCATGGTGTGGAGACCAGGAGGGATTTCTTATGATCCATAATTAGATTAGCTCTTGCTTGTTCTGCAAAATCATCGGCACAGAGGATTAATATGCAAGAAGCTATAGCCACACTCAATAAAATCAAGAATAAGCTTTTGAAGGACAATCCTTTTCTTCATGATGAAGAAGGTCAACTTGTGGTTTCTTTTCATCAGGATTAATATGCTGTCTTTCATGATTAAGAAGGTCAACTTGTGATTTTCTTTTCATCGTATATACTAAAATCACATATATAACATTGCAGAGTTTGGACAACCTCTCTGTCTTTTGTTTTTTTCCCTGTTTCTATTTCGTTTGGGCAGCTCTCTGGTTTTGTATTAGTAATACCCAAGAACCAATGTAATAGTATAGCCCGGCTACACTATTTAAATATTCGAATATATTTAAAACGCAAAGCCGAGCGGCTATACTTAAAAATTTTTTAAAATATAGTATCGCCGCCCGGCTATACTATTGTTAAATTATTTTTTTTCCCTGATTTCAAAGATGAACTGATTCTTACATCATTTGACCTTTCATGAGATGAAGTTGGTTCTATGTGAAGGAAAATATGATTGTTTCATAAAGATAATAGACTATTTAAAGAATTGTCGTGGCTTTACTCATTAAGTAATACTAAGAGTAATTTATAAAACGTAATAATCTTTCAATTTGATTCTAGAAGTCGACAAGAAAATTTGAATGGTGGAAAAAAATAATAATAATAATGTCCAACCAAACTATATGTTTGATTAGTTGAGGATTAAACTAGCGGTTAGGTCTCGTTTGATGACTAGTATTGGATTGGATTAGATTAGATAACTCCTTATTTTTAAAGCATATGTTGAACGAACTGTTGTTACTTTGAATGAAGTTCACGGACTTTTGTCCCATATATGTATACTAAGTCTCTTTTCCTCTTTCGCCTTACTCTCTTCTCTCCTCACTCTCTCCTAAACAACATGTTCACTTCGCCTCACCACAGCAACAACAACGAAGCGTATAGCCGAGCGGCTATACTTAAAATAAATAAAAAATAACATAGCTGCCCAGCTATACTATTTAAATGTTTGGATAAATATTAAAAATAGTACAGCCGCGCAGCGATACCGAAAACTAAATAAAATATAGTATAGCCGCTCGGATATGCTTAAAAAAATTAGTACTATTTAAATATTCGAATATATTTAAAAAGAAAAGCTGCACCGTTATATTTGAAAACAAAATTTAAAAACAGTATATCCGAGCGGCAATACTTAAAAATTAAAAAAGAAATAGTTGGAGTGAGTGAGCTTGATAAAAATGAGAAGAGTTGGGGCTAGGGAGGGAGATGGTGGAGTCGGAGGAAGCCATGAGGTGGACCTAAAGGAGAAGGTTGGCTAATGTCTTAATGAAAAATTGACCTACAATAACCCTCATAGCTAGTTATAGTCCAATTTCCTGTAAGCTTCTACAATCTGCCTGTAGTGTACAGACAGTGCTTGCTCTATGAACCCTTCTTAGTTTTATAAGCCGCATCATTGGAATTTCCTTCTTGATTTGATATAAAACTGTGACATTGATCTCCATCTTCACTTTTATGCCGAGGCTGCAAACTGTGCGCGGCACTTCCATAGAAATGGTTACAAGCCATGATACAGCTGAATTGAAAAAAAAATTCAAACCTCTATACATAATCAGGAGGTTTGGACCTCATCGTGATCAAGGCTATAGCCTTTTGAAAGTGTAGAAAACATTATATAAGCTACTCATATGTAGAAAAGAAAATAATATTATACAGCTGAATTGAAAAAAAAATTCAAACCTCTATACATAATCATGAGGTTTGGACCTCATCGTGATCAAGGCTATAGCCTTTTGAAAGTGAGAACCTATCATCTCAAGTGAAACATTTTAAGTCATGTAGATATGTCCTACAGAACTTTATAATCTTGGTCGCTTATGTATGTTCCTGTAGAAGCCTCTGCTTTTCATCTGCTACGAGTATATACGCCTGCAATGAGAGAGAGAGAGAGAGAGAGAGAGAGAGAGAATTAATATATGTTGACAGATTTTCTTCTCATTAGTCATTGACTCATTGCTGAGAGAATTATCTCAGATGAAAATGGAAGTATATTAAGCTCCATTATACTTACAGAGATAAGGTTGAAATTAGAGCTCTATGTATGCAAAACATTACACTGGTACAGGATCTTGTTTGAGGATTTCCTTTCCTGTAATTTCATCTTTCAAAGTTTTAAAGTAGACATTGTAGTCCTTCTCGGGGGGTGGATTTTGAGGGTCCGCTGTAAATGGCTCACTAAATGGCACAACACTTTTAACCTGCAAATGAGTTTATAAGCATCTCAGAATCTGCAAAAGCCTTTAACTTCCAAAAATAGCAAATTACAGCCACAGCACACAGCACACAATTAAGGGACATAAGTCGGGCTGTGACCTCAAATGTCTTGCCAGATGCATAGGGGCTTTCCAACGCAGCAACACAAATCCGAGCTACCTCCTCTCTTGATATCTTACCCTGCATATAAATAAATACTATAAATCATAACATTCAGATATTATTACTATTATAAGGGAAAGATGCGGCTGTCAGTAGGTTCTAGATGGGTGGTGAACACAATCACCTTCTTGATCATCTGTTGTGCCTTCAAGTTCTCATTCACAGCCACTTCCGGAATCAAATCAAACACCTCCAAAATCATAGGTTCATTGCTATTACAGTTCATGAAGAAGGTCCTCACGGATCTCATAAATTCAAACTTGGACGTAAGATCATGCCCTTGTATCAAGTCTACCTGATATTTTCCACCTTCGTACTTTAGCATCCTATTTCCTCCATCACTGTATTTTATTATCTTTCCCCATGGCTCTTCATTCACTTCAGACACCAGAATTTCCAAGCCCGCCTCTGCATAGGCCTCTGCATCTTCATAGTTCAGCACATGATAGCCCACCACCAAGCAGTTTTTGAATTTTTCCAAACCCTCCCCCTGCTTTATGTCCTCCACCATTGTCTTCCACTGAAGCTCAACCGCTTCCCGGACATCCTCCTTTCTTACATATTTTATGATCACATTTGGAAGCAAAGCATCCGGCTGTATTATTCCACCTCTTAGATTGCCTCCTGCTTCTGCAGCTGCCGCCTTCACCTCCTCCAAATGCTTCTTAACCACATGGCACTCTAGGGATTCACGATGGTAGCAATCGTCGGAAAGGAGCTCTCGGTATTGACGACTGTAGTACTTGGTCAAGGGCACCAAAACCTCCTTCCTCAGCCGTTCCCACTCTTGTAGTTGATCTGATTCCGGAGGGAAAAGCCTCCTCCTGATGCTTTCACGCAACAAAACAGAGCGGGGTCTTTGCCAGTGCAACACTTTGCAGCCGCTGATACGAAAAGATCAACATCAAGTTGATCGCAGTAGTCGTCGTGGTCATCATCCTCACTGTCAGTTAAATAACCAGACCCACCCTGGCACCCAGACCCGCCTAGCACCGCCTACCCCCGCCTAGCGCCGCCTAACCCGCCTAGCGCCGCCTAGACCCGCCTAGCGCCGCCCCGATCCGCCTAGCGCCGCCTAGGCCCATTTTTCGTAATGCAGAGTATGGAGTGGAAGGAATGGTTTCAACGAGAGGGGATGTGTAAAGTTTTGGAATTGTAGTGATGGAAGGAAGCCAACAGAACAGTGGTTGGTTGGTTGGTGCTCTCTCTCTCTCTCCTCTGCTGGGAGGACTGATATCGATTTTCTTGGCTAGAGTTGTTGGAGAAAATGATTCTAGAATTGATTATGGATTCTAGTAGTGACTTGAACAGCAATGAGTTCCATTTTCCTCCTTCTCAAGCCAATAACACTTGTTCTACTATATATGTCCACCTTCTATATCCGGGCCGCGTCATCCAATTTCAATATATATCTCTTATTTCAGGGTAATCAAGCAATTTCAAAATCCCATAACTAATTACCCTCTGATTAGTTACCATAAGTAAGAATTTGACTAATATTATTCTACTAAAACCTCAAAGAATTTCGTATGGTGATTGCAATATATATATATATATATATGAATTAATTTAAATTCGTTTTTGTATTGCTTTCATGTCACCCCTTTGTGCTGTTTTTGACTTGTTCAAATACCTACCGTGTAAATATCTTACATGCATTTGCAGTGGAATTTAAGGTGTCATAGTCATTAATTCTACTAAAATACTCAAAATGGGGGCTGAAATTATAAAAATACCCAACACCCAAAACACTTTATAAACATACCCAAAACTCATCATTACACACTCAAAACCCATTTATAAACATACCCAAAACCCATCATTACACACATACCCAAAACCCATTTTGGGTATATTTCTATGTTTAAATAGTGCTTGGGTATTTTTATAAATACATGTCTAGGATTGGGTATTTTTATAAATATCTATTAATTCTATTGCTATCATGTCCTCAATTAATTAACACACAAAATCAAATCAACAGTCATTAATTTCTTTTTTAATGAAAAACAATTTAGAATCCGTAGTGGTATTGGAGATTTGATTATGTGGAACTGTTTTCCTTTTCCCATTCCTATCAACATTGCACAATTACCAAATGAACTTTTAGGGGGCAATGCATTTTTAAGAATTGAATTGCAATCCAAAACTTAAACATAATATCAATCCACATAATATAATAAAGCAAATGATGCTTAGGAATCTAGCTAGTGATAATCCAGTCCAACCCAAGGGATTGATCGATCATCATCACTTTAAGTTCAGAGGTAAGTCGACTACAACTAAAGTTTGATACTCTTTGTAAGCGATGGCTGCTTCTATGAGATGGTCCGGACCAATTTCCCCGCCATTGTGTAAGAAGGACTTGATCAAATTGTCGGAGCCTCTTCTTTTGTTGGACAAGATGAGCCTCGGAATGAAGGTAGTGGTAGGAGGGCCTCTTTCTTTTAAATGTAGGAAAAACAAAGGGTTAATTAAAAGAACTTTGGCTGGCACTGTCCTTGAATTATTTGCTCTGTATTGCCTCAAACTCACTCCGGAGTAACTCGTATTGAAACTCCCAGGTGGTGGTTGTATCAGGTGGTTGTAGTTCGGTGAACACAATCACCTTCTTGATCATCTGCTATACCTTTAAATTCATATTCACACCCACCTCCAAAATTAAATCAAATGCCCCCAAAACACTACATTCGGATTTCCATGCCAACTCGTACTTGGACTTAAGATCATGATCGCCTTTTATCCAGTCTGGCTCATCTTCTCCACCAATGAGCTTTCCTTTCCATGGCTCTTCACTCTGTTCAGACACCAAAAGTCTCAAACACACCTCCAAAAGTCTATGGCTATACTATTTATTAAATATATATATATATATAAAAGGACGGCCCGCCTGGCTGCTAGCACCCACTTCGACACGTGTGAAAACAGTACAGCCGTCCAGCTATACAATTTTTTTAATAATAAAAACAGTAGTATAGCCGGTCGGCTATATTTGAGTTATTCGCAGCAATGGTCCCTCAACTATACCCCAAGTTACACTTTGGTCACTCTGCTCAAATATTAGTTGCAGAGGTCACTCAATTAGGTGTTTTGTTGCACCATTAGTCCCACCGTCAAGTCTGTTACTTTTTCTGTTTAAAATGATGACATGGCAAGCATCTCTTAGATTATTGATTGGCAAATGTGACTTTCCAGTTAAGATTATTTGTAGCAATGATCAATCAACTATACTCGGAGTTATATTTTGGTCACTCAATTAGGTGTTGTGTTGCACTATTAGTCCCTACTGTTAGAGAGACTTGACGGTATGACTAATGGTGTAACAAAACACCTAATTGAGTGACCTCTGCAACTAATATTTGAATTGAGTGACCAAAGTGTAATTTGGGGTATAGTTGAGGGATCATTGCTTCGAATAATCCCTATTTTTATTATATAAAAATCCTAGTATAGCCGCATTAAAAAAAAAAAAAAAGGCCCGCCTGGTGCCTAGCATTTCGCCACATGTCAAAATAGTACATAGCGGGGCGGGTGTACCTTTTTAATTTTTAAAAAATCCCCAGTATAGCCGCACGGCTATACGTTTTTTTAATAAAAACCATAGTATAGCCGGGCGGCTGTACCTTTGTAATTTTAAAAATATCCCTAGTATAGCCGCACGGCTATACTATTTATAATACAAGAGGACCACCCACCTGGCGCTAGCCCAGCGCCGCTTCGCCACGTGTCAAAAATAGTATAGCCGCCGGGCTATGCTATTTTTTATTATAATAAAAACCATAGTATAGCCGACCGGCTATACTATTGACTATAGCAGTTCAGGCTAAGCATTGTTTCATCCGTTTGACTTCTGACTATAGCAGTTCAGGCTAGCTAAAGCATGACAAAAAGTGCGAGATAAAAGCTATATAAAGGCTAGCCTCATAAACTTGAACCCAGAAACTAGGTCATTACTTGTAGTGGGAGAGATGGAAGAGGAGAACAGAGTAAAACTACATGGCATGTGGGCTAGTACTTACTCTAAGAGGGTGGAAATAGCGCTCAGACTTAAAGGCATACCCTATGAGTACATAGAAGAAGACTTGAGCAACAAGAGCCAGTTGCTCCTCAAGTACAATCCGGTTCACAAGAAGGTCCCAGTACTTGTCCACAACGGAAAATCCATTGTTGAGTCATACATCATCCTAGATTACATTGATGAAACTTGGAAAAAAGCTCCCCAGGATCCTGCTTGAAGATCCTTACAAAAGAGCAGGAAGTTTGATTATGGGCCTCTTATATCCAGCAACAGGTGAGACAATGCTAGTTGATCAGAAAATGGTTTTTTTGCCTAACGCATCATCATCATGCTTACTTTCATTAATACAGTTGTTCGAGGGCATGAGCGAGTGCTGACAAGTCGCAGTGATGCACAAGAGAAAGCGCTTGAGCACTCGAGGAAGTGTTTGAGACACTGAAAGTGTTTGAAGGAGTGGAGGAATATCAACCTCTTCAAGGAGAGAGTTTGGCCCTTACAAAGCTTATAAGAATTCTTTGGTTACAAAATGCTGGACCCAGAGAGGAAAGGGACCATTCATGCTAGATCACATTAGTTGTTAAAATTATTGTGTACTGTAGACACTGGTATAGTATGCCTTTGAGTCTAAGTTTTGATTTTGAATGTAATAAACGTTAAAAGCAATTGGCTTTTGTTCTTAAAATCACTATCAGGATCACTCTGTTTTCTCCTGTCATCTCTCTCTCTCCCTATACCTTTTAATCGGATGGTGAGTTCATTTTGTTGGCAGCTTAATGTAGAGTTTAAAACTTTCTCCCTACACCTTTTACTCAATATTTTTGTAATTTAAAAACACAAATGGTTGAGCAATTTCCTTGGTCCTTATAATTAAAATATCATATTGTACTAGACTTCTTTTAATTCATTTTCATTTCAATAGTTCCTTCGACATCCCATAAACTAGCCATTTTCAACAATAATATTTTATGCTTAATAGTAAGAAACTTATTAAATAAAAAATATTTGTGCCAGGGCCCTTCTTCATGAATCTGCGGAAATTTATTATACAAAAACTAAATTTGAAAACCCATAACAAAAACTATAGGAAATGAGGAGTCAAATCAATAACACAAAATATAGAATTTACTCCAAACACAATCAATCAGTTTTTCTTTGCAGCTTCTAAACTTTGCAATTGCCACTAGGTTATCGTGTTTCCTTGGTGCAATCAAGTTTGTCTCAGCTTTAACCTGAATTACCAGATTGACAACGATATGTTAAGGGCGGTAAAGCAAACGATCTATAAGAAAACAGAAAGAAAAACGCTGTTTCCATATATATGTGACAATTACGGGTTTTAGCTACGGTTTTTGACTTTTAACAACGGTTATGGACTTTTCATGACGAAATTTATGCCCCATTCAGGTAATTATTCTTTAGCAGCGAAAAAAACCGCCGCTAGCCGCGGGTTTAGACATTATTATCTACGGATATAAACACCGCCGCTAAAAGTCAGTAGAAGATTCAAAACTCAGCCTCGATCAAAATCCAGTGATTTTGTAAACAGCAAAAGAAAAAATAACGATAAAAAACCTCATTTTCAATATCATAAGTATTCAATGAGGTGATTATGTCAACTATGAAACTCATCCAAATTTAATTGACAACAGGTATTGTTCGAACAATCTTCATCCTCTCATAATAAAAGTCAAAATTTCAAAGAAAAACAAAATCATTCTCTATTGCAGATTAGCTGCTCTTTGATGCCTGCTTCTCTTTTGCCTTCTGAATCTTCAAAACCTTCTTCACGATCTTCTGCTCTTCCACCAAAAAGGCTCGGATGATCCTGCAAAACCAGAAATTGCAAGAAATATTGTTGGCACTTGGAATCATTAATAAAAAGTTAAACAATTCAAAAAAATTGCTTTTGTAAACAAAATCACATCAACCAAGATTCTTGGTCCAAGAAGTGCCCAAATAAGCCACAGAACTCTAGATAAGTAATATTTCTAGAAATACAAACCTCTCTCGTACAGCTCCACCAGACAGCACACCCCCATATGCGCGATTCACAGTCCTCCTGTTCCTTGATAGTCTAGACCTCTTATATTCAGCAGGTCTCAGGTGAGGAATCTGCATATGGCAGTGAGTGAGAACTAACAACACAGGGCATATAACCAGGCACAGAGTTTCTCAAGACAAAGTAATCAAGAAACACAAAATCATATACATACGTTCATCACATCACATAGACAGAGCGCTATAATATATATAATATATCAACAAGGTAGCCCTAATTTTCCCAAACAGATGAATCCTGACAAACTAAGCTCATTATGAAATAAAGTCATAAGCATATACATATGGCCGCAAACATTAAAAAATAAGATGCTCAGACTACACAGAACATTTGATTCCTAGAATTACCAACCATATGATATAAACCAAAATGCTTAATGTGAATTCTCGTTGTCCTGATTGTAACATTAAGTCAATGCCATCTCACATGTACACTTCTTGGAAGAAATAAAAATAATTGGAAATCCATAATCAGAAGACTGAACAACAAAAGTTAGAACCAACAAATGTCATAGCCGCAAACAATCAACCTACCCCTTGGATTCTCTTTCCGGTAACAGGGCACTTGGGTCCACTTGCTCTCTTCTTGGTGGTCTGATACACAAGCTTTCCACCTAAATATCAATTGTAGCCCGGGAATAAGCAAAAAGCCATCCACACAAAATCAACAGAATAGAAAATTTTATGGTAGGTATTACAATGCAACTGCTGGAATGATCAGATTATAATCCAAATGAAAACTATGATCTATGAGATACAAATGCAGGACACATACTAACACAGTTTCTGCATTTCAAAACATGTTGCCATAATTCCAACTCAGAAACCATATATTATATGCACAGAATTTGAGGGAGACCAACAATGGAATTTAGCCAGTCAAAATGTGAGATCTTCTATTTTTTTTGCTATAAAATGTAAGATTTTAAACCTACTCTATTGTAAGTTGTAACCATTCAACTCAAAAAACAACACACAATGCAGCTTCTTATTTCCATCAATTTTCTAATCTTATGCACACAACATTGCACAATGCACACCCTCTTTTCAATTTACCCTATATTGCCAATCCAGGAATTCATAAAAATAACACAATTCTAGACATATGCAATTTACTTTGTCCAAAGTTGTATGCTACTAAACTCCATTATGAAATTAAAATCCATACAAATATTTACTTTTGGAGAAGAAACAATACAATCTGGAAATAGAGTTTCTTTACAAAATAAAGCAAAAGGGACCAAAGAAACTCACACCAAACCAACCTAAGCCAATGAAAAACACACAAAGTTTGCATTTTGATTACAAGACCAAAAAACACCAGCTTTAGCCCCACATGAATATATAATAACCATGTATAAGATGTTGATAAAAGTACCAGGGGTCTTGACGATCCGATGCTGGTTTGACTTGGTTGCATAGCTATGGCGCGTACGGTATGTGAGCCTCTGCACCATCTCTCTCTCTCTCTGGGTTAGAGGAACTCTGTTTTGGGGGTAGAGCAAGAAAGTTAAAGCCCTAGGGTTAGAGTTAGAGTTAGAGAGAGAAGAGAAGCCTCAGTTGCCCTAGGATCCAACGGCTGTCACGTGCTCTCTTTCAACGGTCAAGATTTATAGGCTTTTTTTTTTAATTTGAGAACGTGCTTTTTTCTACTAATTGAGCGCCCCAATCCGGAGTGGCATTAGTGCAATCAACGGCTACTTCTAAAAGAAACCGCGAACAAAGTCCGCGTCTTTGAACTATGGAGAGCGAGAGCTGAGAATGAACACCGCCGAACAGCTCTGCGTGTCTCTATTGAGCAAGTGCAAGACCCTCAAAACCGTGAAGCAAGTCCACGCCTTCGTGTGCAAGACCGGCCTAGATGCCCATCCTTTGGTCTCTGGCAAACTCCTCCTCCACTGCGCGGTCACAATCTCCGGCGCTCTCGAATATGCTCGCCGTCTGCTCCTTCATTTTCGAAACCCAGATGCTTTCATGTACAACACGCTCATTCGTGGGTTCGCTGAATCTGATACCCCGCACAATGCGTTTGATGTGTTCGTTGAAATGCACCGGAAATTGATCGACCCGCTTGATAGCTTTTCTTTCGCGTTTATACTCAAGGCAGCGGCCAATTGCCGGTCTTTGAGAGATGGGATGCAGCTGCATTGTCAAGCTTTGACTCATGGGCTTGATACCCATCTTTTTGTTGGGACAACGATTATCAGTATGTATGCTGAATGTGGGATTGTCAGCTTTGCACGCAAAGTGTTTGAGGAGATGTCTGATCCAAATGTGGTGGCTTGGAATGCGATTCTTACTGCGTGTTTTAGGTGTGGGGATGTGGAGGGAGCGGAAACAATGTTTGATCGTATGCCTTTGAGGAATTTGACCTCATGGAATGTTTTGCTTGCAGGGTATGTGAAAGCGAATGAGCTTGAGCTGGCTAAGAAGGCGTTTTTGAGGATGCCGATGAAAGATGATGTGTCTTGGAGTACTATGATTGTTGGGTATGCTCAGAGTGGTTGTTTTGATGGGGCTTTTGGGTTTTTCAGGGAACTACAGAGGGAGGGAATTAGACCCAATGAGGCGAGCTTGACTGGGGTTCTCTCTGCGTGTGCACAAGCTGGGGCATTTGAGTTTGGTAAAATTCTACATGGGTTAGTAGAGAAGGCTGGTTTTCTTTGGATGATTTCAGTCAATAATGCACTCCTGGATACGTACTCTAAATCTGGAAATGTGGACATGGCTCGGTTGGTCTTTAAAAGGATGCCGGAGAAAAAGAGTATTATTTCTTGGACTTCAATGATAGCGGGGCTTGCAATGCATGGTTATGGCAAAGAAGCAATACAAGTTTTCCATGATATGGAAGCGTCTGGATTTAGGCCTGATGGGATCACCTTCATTTCAGTTTTGTATGCTTGTAGCCATGCTGGTTTGATCGATGAAGGATGTGAGTATTTCTCTAAGATGAGATATTTGTATGGTATAGAACCAGCTATTGAACATTACGGTTGTATGGTAGATCTATATGGTCGAGCTGGTAAACTGCAAAAGGCCTATGATTTTGTTAGTCAGTTGCCAATGTCTCCTAATGCTGTTATTTGGCGAACTCTTCTTGGGGCTTGCAGTGTTCATGGTAATGTTGAGTTGGCAGAACAAGTGAAGGAAGTGCTCTCCAAACTTGACCCTGAAAATTCAGGTGACCACGTTCTCTTGTCAAATGTATATGCTGTTGCAGGGAAGTGGAAGGATGTTGCTGCTGTAAGAAGATCAATGGCTGACCAGAGGATTAAGAAAACTCCAGGATGGAGTGTGATTGAAGTTGATAAGGTCATGTATAGTTTTACGGCTGGTGAAAAATCAAATAAGATTACAGAAGAGGCTTATGAGAAGCTAAGGGAGATAATGTTAAAGATAAGGGTTGATGGAGGTTATGTTCCGGAGGTTGGGAGTGTTTTGCATGACATAGAAGAAGAGGATAAAGAAGATTCAGTGTTCAGGCACAGTGAGAAACTTGCTGTAGCTTTTGGCTTGGCAAGACTGCAGGTAGGAATGAATATAAGGATTGTGAAGAATTTACGAGTCTGTAAGGACTGTCATATGGTGATGAAGCTGATTTCTAAGGTTTATAGATTGGAGATCGTAGTGAGAGACAGAAGCCGTTTTCACTCCTTCAAGGACGGCTCTTGTTCTTGCAAAGATTACTGGTGAGTGGCAACTGACGAAGTTCTTGAAGAAATATAGCTCCTATAAGTTAAGAGAGATCAAAGTCATGAAAGAATATACTGACACGGATACGCAAGACAAGAAGGAACGCCAAGAATTTGTCCTTGAGTCACATTACTGATCAAAAATTTCAACAACTGGTTCAAAGGAAGCAGGGGAAATGATGAAAACTGAAAATGAACTTCTAAACAACAAGGAGCAACTGAGTACTTAGTAGGCAGATGGAGAATTGAAGTGCTGGCAGATTTTCATTCAAGTACACCCAATTGGTTGTTGTCAACAATTTTCTTCATTCTTTTGACCCCCCAAAATGTGTACAGATAATACATGCTGGGAATTTTCTTCAAAGCTGGAGCATTCCAGATGGGATGTTAGTAAACGTTTGTAATGAGCAAAGGAAGCATATATTTTTGGAAATATCCCAAGCTGTTAGGTGAGAAAAACGAAAGACACGTAACGTTTGGCGGGAGGGAGGCCAACGGCACTTTGTGGAGAAAAAGTGAACAAATTTATATCTCAGCTGGTGCTGAGTGATATTTCCAAAACTATTGTGGACACTACTGATATATTCATATTTCTCATCTGACGCTGACTGTCTGCTGAGCATAGATTCTTAATATTTTTCCACAGCAGAAAATCTCAGTAAAAGACAGTGGTCAGCGTCTTCCTCCGCAACCCCATCTACCCAAAAACCCAAGACCCAAAGCCCCTGTCCGTAATCCTTCTCTCTCAATTTCTGCACCTTATCCATGGCGCTCTCTGCAGCATTCTACACATCTTCACAACCATCCCGTGCACTTTTGTGCAGAACTCGTAGGCCCAATTTCTCTCAGACTGCTTGCTTCCAGAAAACCCTAACAATTAGGGCTTCAACCACCCTGGACTACTCCAAGCTCACTGTGGGTGATAAATCTTCAGCCCCATCAAAGGTCAGGGACCCAATTGTACTTTTTCTTTGTTCTTACTTTGTCATTTTGCCCATGGGATTCAAAGTTGAGGTTTGGATTGTGGCTTCTATGCTTCTACGTATGTACGAATCATTAATGTATTGGAAACTTGAGAAAATTGAATGAATTTGAAAATGAGCTAGGGGAATTCACAAAACTAACCAAGAAAAATTGGATTAGAGTGCTTACATATCTAAATGAAAATTTGGATTTCGGAAAAGATTTGAATTAGTTTACTTTCTGAAGTATTGAATTGAAGTTTACATTTCTACCACCCGAGAGAAGAGACTCATTTTATTATCAATGTGAAACACAAGTTAATATTATGTTAAATTCCATGAAAAATTCGATGGAACGGTTCTATTTTATTCTATACATGTGTACCTTTGTGTATCAGTCACTGAACCAAATATCACTAAGAGTGGATGTCACTGGTAACAAACAACATTTTGGAAACTAAAATTTTGTTAATTGCAAGGATACAGGGATCAGTTTATAAAGAAACACATTGATGTTAAAATCTAGTCAACTAATGTTCTTGTGTTTGTTATTTTCTTTCTAATAATTATTTGCCGAGTCCAGTACTATACGTGTTGTCACCTTGCCTGACAAATGATTGTACTTTGTTTCAGAGCAATAGTTGGCAATGGAAATTCAAGGAAAATTCTATTAACATCTACTATGAGGAGCATGAAAAGGAGAAAGAGGGTCCTTCTAAGAACATCCTTATGATACCAACCATTTCTGATGTAAGCACTGTTGAAGAATGGAGATCAGTAGCAAGTAATCTTGTTCAGCAAGATGGTAATGTTAATTGGCGAGCAACCATTGTTGATTGGCCTGGTCTGGGGTACTCTGATAGGCCAAAGATGGACTACACTGCTGATGTCATGGAGAAATTTCTGGTTGACTTCATCAATGCACCTGATGGTCCTATAAGCGGCTCAGGTTGATGAGTAACTACTGTTCTTTGGTTAATGATATTATGATGATACCACTACTGTTTATCTACATTTCTTAGCATGATGTACACATCTTGTTCCATCATGCATGTGTTAAGGTACTCGACCTTCTTAACTACATATAGTTACTTGAAACGCATCATGCTTCCCAACCCCCATCGAATGAGGGAAAAAAGTGAATTTACTGATTGTTTTACTTTGTTAGGGTTTATTGCCTCAATCAGGACCTTTTTTTAAAATTTTTCTTTATGTGGTCAGCCTTTTCTTTATGCGGTCAGCCTTTTCTTTTCTTAAAGTTTACTTGCTAATAATCTCTTGCTATCAACCAGAAAATGATTTTGTAGTATTTGGAGGAGGGCATGCCGCCACTTTAACTATTCGTGCTGTAAAACGTGGTGCGGTGAAACCTAAAGCCATTGCTGCTATTGCACCCACCTGGGCTGGTCCCCTTCCTATTGTGTTTGGTCGAGATTCTAGCATGGAAACAAGGTATTCTATCTGATAACATATATTAAATGATTCTAGTTGTTGACAATTGAGCTGTAATTGGGAACCCAAATTGTGGATAACTATTATGCAGAAAAATCTACAGTGCAAGACCATTAAGTCATATCACTCCATGTTATTGTGTGTGATAAAATGTAGTTGGTCCATTTTAAAGATTTTAATATAGATGTCTTTTAAGGGAAAGTGCTACTTTTCCTATGTAAGTAAGCACCAGTTTTTTCTTGATCTATGACATGACTGAAATCTCCTTTTGTTAACAAATTTTCTCAGGTATGGACTGCTTAGGGGCACCTTACGAGCCCCTGCTGTGGGCTGGATGATGTATAACATGCTTGTCAGCAATGAGAAGTCAATTGAATCTCAGTACAAATCACATGTCTATTCAAATCCGGACAATGTGACTCCTGGAATTATCGAAAGCCGATACGCACTGACCAAGCAGAAAGGAGCTCGCTA